GTAATCTCTTTGTAAGTAATGTATCTCTAATAAAACTGCTTATTACTATTCATCTCTCTTACCTCTACTAGTTATCATCATCTATAAGTTGAGTCCAAGGATAATTGGAAAATCTGGGATGAGCAGACTCTCCTTCCCTCTCTTTCTCTCTCTATACTCTCTAGTCTGATCTCTCTCATCATTAGCTATTCATCATATTTATGAAAATTTCTTTAACTTCATCCATCACTTATATCAACAATTTGTATTTTTCCTATCCAAATGGCTCATCAACTTTCCAATTTCATTTAAAGCACAAAACCTTTCGTTTATTATGAAAAAAGGACAGATAGTGTTGCAAAAATATTTGAAATATAAGAAGGTATTTGTATACAAAATAGATGAATGATTCCCTCTCCTAACGATTTCAGGAAATGATGACGTCAACAGAGAGAAAAACAAATGAAACGAATGATTGTATGATGATGAACATGATAAGATCAAATTGGTGGAGAGTCTAAGATCTATAAAGGGTGCATACTAATAGGAACTTCATAAATGATGTGAACGATGAAAGCTTTCTCTATGTAGGGTAGCTAGAACGATACGTTTATAATGATGCTGAAGCTGATCAGAAGTTTAAAAGAACATCTGAATGATTATGAATGAAGGAATACTTATGAACTGATAGGATGAATCTCTCAAGATGATCTATACAAGAGAGCAGTCACAGAGTCATCAATGTATAGATCATAAGAAAGCTACTGTTTTGCGTTGCGGAAGAATATCTTGAAGGAGTTGAATAGATTTTGATTGCTTTATCGTAATCTTCAGAATGATTACAAGACCATCAAAATCGAAAATTTAAGACAACAGGCACATTTGACTTGTCATCAACCGACGATAAAAAGCTTGTTTTTCTTTGAAATCAAAAGCCATACGAATACGAATGTTCAATTTAATTTGTGAGACTAATGAAATGAAAACTTTGAGTTAAAAAAAAGTTTCGAAAACTTTTGAGAAAAAAACAAGTGATGAAGAGATTGAAAATGATAGTTACTTGATGTTCTGATATGAGAAGTGTGAAGTAGAAAACATACAGAGAGAGATAGAGAGAGGCAGAAAGTGGAGGATTGTAGGAATCAGTAAAAGCAAGACTAAGAGATAAAAAAATCCGGAAACAAAAAATATAAAAGGACAGGTAGCTAACAACTATGGAAAGAGAACAGTTATTGGAGGTGTTGGAAGCAGTACTGGAAAACGAAGTCAGGTATGCTTTTCCGCTTAGATAGAGCCGATCAGTATTCTAATCAAAGACTTGGTCTAAAGATAAAAGACAACTTCGATGGAACATCTATTTAAAGGCATTCAGGAATTGCCAAACATAGACTTCATTTAGGTTGCTCATCGACATCTTTCTCTCTCCTCTCATTCTCTCTGTCATCGTCATCGGATCCGTTTTTTTACATTTCGTAAATCACATCACCGGCTTCTTCCGGAGCATCATCTGTCCAGATGCATTTAGATCGAAGATATTTCAGTAAAACAGATGTAACAACTTCAGAACATCCATAAATGAACTGCGAAATATATAGATTGGATTTTCCGCATCATTAAGCACTCATTTTGGCAACAGAAGCTTTCATCAATTTTTCCGTTACAAACTATGCTTTTTTCATTCTTCTTTTTTGGAATGTGTCAAAATATTATATTTTTTTAACCTAAACCACCGTAATTAGTTATTCCATGCAGTGCATGGATTACGGTAAGATGCAGCCTTCTTTGGCATACTGTAGTCAGTGATGTGAACGATACATATGAAGGCATATGATGAACGAAGGCATAACATAAATGATAAAAGTTCATAGGACAGTAGTAATTAGTTTGACAATTTTTTTAAAACACAAGATGAACAACTACGAGAAAACAAAGAAAACGATTGATTGCTTTGTAAGCTTCATCTTCTTTTTCGTAATTTTGCTTTCATTTTTTAAAAGCAACAAATCGATAGACAAGTTTTGTGTGTGTGAGGGCAAGAAGGAAGCTTCTCAAATGACTTTGAAAGAAAGAAGATTTCTATTTTTTTTTACTTTTTTTAATATTCAACCTGAGACTGAGTGGGTTCTGAACATCTTGTTGTGCGATCAAGTCTCTCTCCCTGTCTATCTCTCACTTGCGACTTCCTGGAAGCTTCAACTCCTAAATGGGAACATTTGAAAAAATTTTTTTTTTCATTTCATCTTTTTCTTTCAAAAAACAAATGTTCAGAGATGTTCAATTGATCTCAATTTGTCGGAAAAATTCTTTATTTTTCAACAATTTTACTCAAATCATTCAACTACCTGACAACATTTACAACGGGCAATTGATAGCTTCAGAAGAAACTCAGAGTTTAACAGTTAACGAAGAGCAATCTCAGACGGAAAAGCTTTTTTTTATTGTTGTTGTTGTTGATGAAATAATTAGATGACATCTTTCAAAAAATTGAAATATTGAACTTTTCTTTTTCGGAAAGGGTCAAGACATGTTAATGATCAAAAATGTTTTTTTTTCCTCCTTTTTTGGGCTTCAAACAAAAAACGATGAAAACTACCGTATATGAGAACAAGAAAGAAGATATGGGGGAGATAAAGCCAAAGAATAGTTATGTTTGATTGTCGAACAAGCTGAAACGTTGTTCAACTCAGCATCTTTTTAGTTGGAACTCCTCCGATTTCCGTTCAAGAACCACCAAAAGAGAGGAACGAAACCATGTGAACTCTTTGCATTAAGGAAGAGCAATTCAAGAAAACATTATTTACAAATAGTTTGATTGTTGAGCAATAATAATAATAATAATAAAAATGAAATAAACCTTAAAATTCAAAGCTCAAAGTGAACTCTCGTAAAAGCTGAATTGATGTTTTGCTTATGAATTTTTCAAAAGAATCCACTTGTTTCCAACTCTTTCTCATTGTTTCATCAGAATTTTAGTTTAATTCTTAAAAAATCAAATGACTACATGTCTTATGTACATTTCCGTATTCGGAGAAATATAACGTATAGCTGAGATTGTAAATGATCTGTGCGATCCAGAGAGATGCAACCGGTCTGCACGTGTGAAGAGCAAAAAATGAAAATGTTGTGAACACGTGCTCGACCGACGCGCACGTGGAAACTTTTGAGATGAGAAATTAGCATATCGCGAGGAATAACATGAGAGATGGAAGCTCTATTAATTCTTTTTTTTTCGATTCTAACTGAAATTAAGAAATGCTGCTAATGTTGTTAAGTTGTAGGACATGAGGAGAAAGCTCGTAAGCTATGATCAAAATGAAGCTCTGTTGGCTATTTCCTTGTGTTTATGTTTCGAATAAACTTCTATCCTACTCATATTGAAAGAAATCTTAAAGAGAAGCGATATTAGAGAGGATGTCAGACAATGAGATAGATTAAAAGAGAAAATGAAGAGAAAAAAATGGAATGATGATTGAGCTGAAGAAAGAGAGAGCAGGGAGGAGAATAGTGCATGGCACTCTTCGGAGCATCTGTCAAATGGTTTGTAAGTTTTTTTTTTTTTCTACAAAGACATTCATATATGATTTTATAGAAGGAATTGAAACGAAGTATGACAAATCATTATATGAACAGTGATCGAACATAATATCGAAAATGAAATGAGTGAGAAATATGCTTAATTTTCGATTTTATAAAATCTTCTTTTATCTCTCGCAATTGCTCTCTTTCCTTCTCACATCTATCTCTCTCTCTTTCTCTCTTTCAGGCTTCTTCTTCATCTTTAGTTACTGCCGCCCAATATGACACTCTGGTGCATGATCAGAGCCAATTGCACAGGCTGTGACGATGCCAGACGTTGATTTTGAATTTGGTCTCCACACACACACACACACATCAGCTTCACGTGAAATCTGAGAACGTTAGACCGTCAAGCCATTTCAATGTGCTCAGCCGTTCCCACTCGTAGCGTTTTCCGTTGTCTTCTTTCCGTTTCAATCATTTCGTATTGGCAAAATCAGAATACGCCCATCTCCGTATATAAGAAGAAGGATGCGAGAGATACAGAGAGAGAAAGAGGGAGGGAAGGGAAACTTTTTTTTGTCTTTTCAGATATTCGGTGTGAATTTTCGAAGTACGAAAAGTACCAAACTCCAAAAAAAATATTGTTGAGTAGAAGTTATAGTATAGTAGAGTTAGTCCAGATGTATGACGCTGACAGCCAACGTGTCGTATGCGACGTTTGGAAGAGAGAAGATCTTGTCATTTGTCATTGTATACGGTTCGATAGCACATACCTCTTGTAGACAGCAGAAAATTTTGCAACTTTTTGCAAGTAATATTATCTGACACGTTGTAGCCGTTGCTTCGAGCACCTGTACAAGGATAGGATACGCAGATTGTTCAGACCAAATTTGCGTGACGTCTCTTAATAAGGGCATGGTTTCATATGTCTTTAAAGCTTTATTACATATGAACACAGCTATCTGTTCTCTAAGAAATTTTTTTCGAAACATTTCTTCATCACATTGACCTCCGCTAAAGCTTTTTTTTCTTATTTTTAAGCAAACGCACTTTCCCAGGGAGCTCGAATTGAAATGTCAACATGGAAATTTTACAAAAAAAAATTGAGAATTGTTCAAATTCAATTCCTGAATTTTGTTGTATTCTTTAATCCTTTTTCATGTAAAATCAGAAAAAAAATATAAGAAAATACATATTCTTGTGTGGATGTATGGTGAAGCAACACTAGATCCCTCGGATTCTCGTTCAACATCAACTTTTTTGAGATGAAAAATACTTTGAGAAATAGGAGACTTGTGTTGGAGGTGAAATGCTGAACCGTAGATTCGGAATCTATGAAAAGCTGAAACTCATGAGTTAATAAGGCTAAATCTCACAGATGCAATGGAAACATTCAAATAAATATTTTATACAAAAAGAAAGACACGTAGCTGAGAGCCAATGAAAAGAAAACAATAAACTCGTATTTTAATAGCTTATATAATAATAAATTAATATTTAAATTAAGGATAAATCTTTTTATAAATGACAGAAGTGTGTTCCATTAAACGTCTGGTAACAGTGGTTGTCATAAGTAGGCGAGCTTCTAACTTATTCTCGTCCAGCATTGTCCATTCACGGAACATCTAAAATAAGTTCACGTTCATTGAGAGGCCCCGTTATTATGAATTGTTTTCTTTTATTTTCTTCTTTCACTTACTAATCGAACTGCTGAATCATGCGAGAAGCTTATACGACCAATACGAACAAGTTTGAAACGAATTTCGTTTGGTCCAGGTTGCCCTTCTTCAACTGTCATGAAACCTGTAAATGACGAAGTTCAGCTCATACTTCAAAGTGTCAAAAAAGAAGTTTCCCTTAGTCAAGATAGACGTTCAAAGCGTTGAGTACAAACACGACAACTAAACTAACCGTTACTCATGGCTGTTGTTAAGCTCACAATATCAACGTCGTCCTTCTCATCATGTTTAACAGTGATGTATCCATTCTCACTGTGAATTTCGATTGGATCTCCCTCCGGCATATTGATGTCCCAAGCAAACGCTCTTAAACCATTTATAATATAGAAAAAAGCAAGTAAGGATGTACGTGTAGTTCAAGCTTGGATGAGCCTTGGAGTTCAGTTCATCAAACTGGCTAATTTTAATATCCAGCTGCTCTCCATAAGTGAACTTGGGAATTGTTGGAAAGAAAGCTTTTCCACCAAATTCTTAAAATTTATTATTTTTCATGAAAACTAATAAAAGAATAAGAAAAATCATTCAAAACCTGATCTCCACCTTCCTACTAACCATGCGATTGGATGCAGTTGTTTGGGTAGACGTGACACGTCATAAACTAAAATCGTCTTTTAAAGTACAAAAGGAAATTGAAAGAAAAAAAAAAGAAAATCCTCCGAAATATCTTTATAAATAGTAAGTGAGCAGGTTAATAATGGAAATGATTATGTTATAATAACATCATGATAACCTGATCTAATGTACGATGACGTTATTTACTTGTACTTTTCATTTATTATTCATTATAATAGAAAAAAGAAAATATATTGTCTTTCTTTCTCTCTCTCATTAACATCTCCGGAAATATAACTATTATAATGTTATAATTAATGACATAATCTTATAAAAATTATTAAAAATATGTGTTTTTAGAGGTCGTGTGAAGGTGTCCGAACATTCCACCTTCTACCTCTCCCCCCTTTCAAACAACTCGTCTCTTTCCACACAGAACTTGCTTTTCAACACTCTTTCCCAATTGAGATGAGAACGAAAAAACAAATTTCATTAAGCTTGTTCCAATTAAGCTTCACGTTTTTGTTATCTTTGGAGATTTGAAAACCTTTTTTTGTGACATAAATGTCTCAAAAAACTTCAAATGGTCAGCTGGGTTGATTGGCGAAATCGAACTGCTTAACCATGAATTGGACATGAAACGGATATGCGACGAAAGAAGATTTTTCGTTTTTGTTTAGGATTTTAATTGGAAATGAAGACAAAGATAATGAAACGTCAACACAAAACCTACGTGGATCTATCGCTTCTCCGCAAAGCTTGCATGTTCGTTGACAGTGTTCCATTACAAGCTGTGTTTCCGTACACTGTGAACTGTTTGTTGCAACCTAAAATCCTATTTTCGTACTTGATGTTAGGAATTATTTGTGAAAGATACGTGAACTGTACTTCAAAAGGACATCTGCACTTTCAAGTAAAACAATTCGACCGTTTGATAGATGAGGAAGAGCTGATGATGAACTTAATTGGTTCAAATCGGACAGGTTTCTCCTTCTATTTTATCAGTTTTGAAACTTCTCTTTTTTCAATATCTTGAAGTTGTCAGATGTCGAAACAAAAGAAAAATCAAGATAACTCGAGAAATGTTGATTATTATCATCATAATTGGATGATTAATGTGATTCTGCCGTTGGCAGCAAAAACAGCATCGGTGCAGAGCAATCTGCTATGTTACTACCTCGTCCTTATTGGTGAAAGAAAAGAAATGAATTTGTAATTACCCAAATTGGACAGTTCATATCGCTGTCCTGACATGATGATGAGCGTCCCAAACAGTTTGAGAAGAGAGTGAAAATGAGGAAAAGCTTTAATATGATCATAGAGGGAGGCTTCGATATCTTGAACATTATCATATTATTATTTTAAATTAACAAATTCGAATAAATAAAAATTAAAAAGTAATCAAAACATAGAAAAAAGAAAGAAAGAAAAGAGATTGAGGTGTGAGAACGAGAGAGAAACGTTTCAATTGACTTGAATAAACTGAAAAGATAGTGTCTGATGAGATCGAGCCTGACGGGCGTGGTTGAGGCCGAAGAGCCATAGACGAACGGGATTGAACAAGAGGAACTCGTTCCGAAGATAAAAAAAAGAGAATGACTAAAGACATAAATGGGATGGTATATATGTACATGGTGTTAAGAATATTTTGGGCTTCTGATAAAAGATATAAGAAGAAGAAGAAGATGAAGACGAAAAAAAAAGAAGAAGATGATGATGAAGCTTCAATGATAACGTCACCTCTCTCGTCTGTTCAGCATCTTTTTTATTATTTTGGTTATTCATCTTCATATATATAAATGTATATTAATAATAAGATGATATGATCAAGTATATTCTCTTATTGTTCTGATAGTTCTTCACTGTTTATAGTCCTGAATCGTTTAATCATGAATGATTTGAAAAGAAGATGAGATTAATCATCTGCGTCATCGGACACTTCAAGACGTTTTATGTCTTTTTTTCTTGCCTTGATAGTTTTCTTCATTCATTCATGTAATATCCATATCGTTCAACTTATGCTTCTCGTTTCATTTTGATTCTGAACCCTTTGACTCCAATCCTGGTTGGACCATCGAAGTGCGTCAGCAGGAAATCACCGCATCTTAAATATTTCATTGAGAACTATAATTTCGTGCAAAATTCGAACAGATCAAAGAAACTTCTTACGGATGTTGAGAAGATGATAAGGGTTTGAGGATTTACTGTATCTAGAACGTTCTTGGGTTTACAGGGTTATGATCAAATTGGTCTACTAATTGATTTCTCTTTTTTTCTACAAACAAAGGAAAATAAATTTTTATGATTTCTGGTTCATGACCATGGGGGCTGTTTTGACACTTGCAGAGTTCGCAAAAGAAGTGATAAAACGAACTCAAAATCTGTGTACCGAATAAGGATGACCAATGTTTAATTTTGATTGCGAACAACGTATGACTTCCTTTTATCCATGTTTGTACGTAACGCTTACGCTTGCTGTAATCCTACTGTACTTTTGGATAGTTGCACTCCGTTCAAATAATTAAAAAATAATTAGGTTAAACAGTAAAATATTAGAGACGAAGTATATCTTCTATTGGATGATAACATGGAATGCCAATTTAAACTTTTTGTAATGTTTTCAATTTGAAAAATTGAATGATCACAGCCTATAAAAGGACGGGAATGACCAAAATGTGTTCATTTGTTTTCAAATCAAATTGTTAACAGAGGAAATTCTTTCTCTTAACAACCAGCTGTCTCAATTGAGTTCTTCTCGTCATTCGAATAAAACAATTCACGCACGCTGTTATCCATCACCAAATACATACACAACACTTAAGCCCTTAAGATGATTCAACTTGTAATTATCTCGGCAGGTTTTTTGTTCAGTTTTTCATTTGTCTAATTCACATGTTTTTTACAGTTCTTGTTTCATCACAGCTTCATGTCGCAGCTTTTCCCGAAATGATTGCGATCCGGGAACCTGAAGGTTTCTTCCTTGAGCTTTGTCTGAGAATAACAAACTGTAATTTAGGAATGGTCTTTGAAGGACCCATAGAGAAGGAACCTCAGCTTATTGCTCCATTGCCACACCTGCAACGCAAAGCGGAAAAGGCAATGAAGAGAAGAGAAGAAGTAAGTTGCTCTTTCTTGTTTCCTGACAACTTGTTTACTTGTTATAGGAAAAACGTGACATAACTGGACCTGCGAGCGTTGAAGAAATGAAACCCTCCGCAGAGTTATCTGACTCTCCCATTTCACGATCACCCTCCTTAAAGTCATTGCCTTCTACTTCGTTTTGTTCCACCAATCGAAAACAGTACGAGAAGTATTGCATCGACTTCTTTGCAGATATTCCAGCTAATAGTCGAGACAGTATCTTAAGATTCTGCCCTGTCTTTGAAAACCGATGCATTCGAATAGAATAAGGACCAGCTTTCTAATATTTAAAGCTATTGCACTAATGCATGTTTCTGTATATTTCCAGATGTTTAAATATATGTATGTATCTGACTATTAAAAATGACCAGATTCAGATAGCTACGGAGAAGTACTATTCCTGATCTGTTGATTGGTCGTCTGCACCACCAAAGATGTGTCGTGTATATAAAAATGAGCAAGGAAAGAAACGTTCATATAAAACTTTCTGATATTTAGCCATCACAGTATCTAATGATATACAAAACATGTGAAACATAAAATTAAAGATATTGAGCAAGAGAAGTATAAGATCAGCTACATAGTTTTGAGAATATGAAAGGTAGAGCAAGAGAAAAAAGATAGAAAAGTCATAGAATGGCTGTCCGTTATGAACGTTCCTGTTGAGATGAAGTTTGCGATGCAAAAAGCTTTAGAGCTTCACTTCACATATGAGAATGAAGACATTATGAGATCTTGAGCGAAATTAACACGTTATGAACAATAACAAAAAAAATGGAAAGAAGCAAAACTGAGATATTTGGAGTAGGAAGGAAAAAAACATTATCGCATAATGAGGTAATTTAATTAAAAACTTGGTTCACCGGTATATTATTGAGCAGAGCCCGTAACAAATAACAAAACAAACACTAAACGAATGCCGAGTTAGAGCACAAATTATAAGTACTCTGGATGCATGGCTTGAGCGTAATTCAAGTTATTTGGTATTGGTTCCATGGGGTTGAAAAAAGATTCATATCTATTGAGCAAATTAACAGCATATTTTCTGATTTCAGTTCCATGTACAGCAGTAGCATGATGTACAATCTTGGCACACTCAACATCATCATGAAGCCAATTAAATAATAACCGTTTCCGATCATCAGCTGATGTTAATTCATCAATGAAACGGAGCATGCAACAACGTAACAAGTTTGTGACTTCATCGTTGAAGTCTCTGATTATTCTTAAATATTGAAGAGGGTTTAATCGCCTGAAAGAATAATAAGATTATATCATATCCTTTCAGTTAATCTTACTCTTGTTGGAGAGTGCTGCCTATTGCTTGAGCTATATCAGGGTAACTAGCTAAAACGCACAACAATTTCATTCCACGACGAACGAGATCGTTGATCTGCTTCTTTTCATTGGGAGAAGCATTCATAAACTGTGGCTGAAGAGGTTACATGAATTAACTTAATCCCAGGATTTGACTTACATATCGATTCAGAAGATCAAAAACTAATTGCATTACTATCGTCGATAATGTTTGTTGATGACAGTCATCTCGAAGATCAATGAATAATTTCATATATTCGGGAACAGAAGTAAATACCCTGAAATTAGTAAAGATAAATACCATTTTCAAGTCTTTGCAGCCGTACCGCTCTAATATTAATAAAATTTTTGCTCGAAGCTCTACTACATTTCGATTTGCTAATGTATTTAATAGGAATCTAGGATCATGTTGAGACACCTGCTGCCTAGCTTGTATCAGCCATTCTTCATCACCTGGCCCACCTAAGGTAAGGTTGGCCAGGCAGCCGAAAGCATTGACTAAAATTGAGTCAACAATCTGTCTTATGGTAGGTAGAGGATATTTAATATACTCCCTAACCATTGACAACACAGACATTATTAAAGCAGGACCTCTGGCCTCTGTTATAAATTTCTGAAAAAAAAATTATGTAAACAAAGATCCTCTAGTAGCATACTTTATGAGATGAAGAAAGAGCAGAGACGTTCAAGATGAACGCAGTACCATACTGTGCAGTACGAGGATCTTCCGAGCCAAACAAACGAATCACAGCTAATATGGTGGGAGCTAGATCGAGCATACGCATCTCCGGTAGGTCACTAACGGCTGACAAACAATGTAAACAATCGGTAAGCACACGAGGTGATCCATGAGACAACAAGTTTGTGGTTCTCTGAATACAATAAGTATATAATAATGAAAAATAATACAAAGCATACCTCTACACCACCATAATTCAAGAAAGACATCGCATACTCTTTGGATGAAGAACATATTAAAGATAGACAAAGTTTCGCAGTCTCGGCTATAACTTTTTCATCCATCCCCATGTCCAAGAAAGGCAGAATTCGATACATGCCAATATGCTGATTGAAATGTTCTTTCATAATGGGGTATTTGGAGAGCAACAATCGTGTACTGCCGATGGCAAGAGCTTTCACAGTATAATTCATGTCGTCAATCAAAGCTATTTGCATCAGTTGGTTAATTGATTCCTTAGATCTGCAATAAATTCATTTTGAAATATAGGATGAGACCCATCACATACCTAACATATCGTCTTCGTCTCGTATTTTTGTGACAAAGCATTAACCACACAGCTGTTAAAGCGTTTTGAGTATATGGCATATTAGCACTACAGAAAAAGTATGATCAGAAAAAAAAAGTAAGGAATTTTCTTACTGAATTCTCGACCATGCAGCCAGTAAAGGTCGCCCTTTCTGCTCTGTCATTAGTTCTTCAATCATAGGTTCCGCATGGATTAAACATATTATTTTGAGCAAATGAGCAACTGTCTAAATTAAGAAATAAGATACGATTGGGACTATATAACATACTTCAGGCTCAGCATCCTTATCTACGATGACATCAAACATTGCACTCAAGAGTCTTTTCATTTTTTTCGGTTGTACATAGGTTAAATATTTCCGATTTGCCATATCCATCACAGAGTTTGTAGCTTTTCTTCGATAAATCTAAATTAAAAGATGAAACTAATCATGTCAATGGGAATGACTTACAGAGTTTCTCATTGAAAATGCTCTAAGTACATGATCAACGTTCTGATCTATTTCAGAGTACAGCTGCGAGAAATCATAATTCTCAATACTAGATGAAGAAGTAGGCATCACAGGCGGTTGCTGAAAACAAACCATAATTCTCACAAAAGCATATAAAGATAACATACCGGATAAGAATATGCAACTGCTGTAACTTGTGTGTCTACTGTTAGAGAACTCATTTGGCCTATTGACATCTCTGACATGTTTCCAGAAAGCCCCGTTGCTACAGAACCAGCCTGAACAAGCTTGATTAGATCGTTTTCTCAGATTTAACCTACTATACTGCCAGCTGTACTTCCAGGTCGGCTTCCATCATGTCTATAATTTCCACACATAGCTGGGTTTTCAGTCATCCATTGATTAAAATATGTAGGATTTCTTATTCCACAGCTATCTCGAACTTTTTGGACTGGACCAGCATTAGCAACTCGAAATGGTGATGGATGAGGCCTACAATTACACGTTTGATATAAGATGACGAAACATTTTTAAGAAATTTTCATATATATTTTTTGCTGAAGTTTAATGTAAGCTATCCATCACAACATCACAGTGTGAACTTTCGGATTGAAACATTACACAACAAAGAATAAGTAATACGATTTTTATAACTTACATCATATTCGGAGGAGTCAATAAGTTTGATCCGTTCGATGTGGACGGTACTTGGTGGTCGTACATCGAATTCATCTGAGCTTTAACGTCCACAACTTCTCAAAAGCTAGAATCAAATGGTATAATGATTAGTCGATTAATATGACATTAATATACGGGATTACATACAATGACATATAATGAGATAAGTAATAGCTTATTAGGGTTTGGGCAATTTGTTTAAGGCAAAGCCCAATGGCATCAATTCAGGAGATTGAGGTGATGCCAGTGACCATATATAATTGACAATATGTGTAAAAGTGTTAGAATAAAATTCAAGAGGGTCATTGGCACTCGCTCACATCTCTATTCAATCGAAAATAGCTGCTATGATGAAGTTCATGTACCTCATTCAGGAAATGCAAATAACAACTACATATATGAAGTATAATACTTGAGGAGCAAATGTAAATATTAATAAGAAACAGAAAGCTTTAGAACATGGCCTGAGAAATAATATTCAAAATATTTTGTAAGTATATGAATTTCATTACAGGAAACAACAACTTTTGAATGGAGGACGCGTTCCAACCATGTATAATGAAACGAATGTATAACCTTGATCTGGAAGGTTATCTGGCACGTTTCAACTTAAGCTTTTCAATCAACTTGGAGGCAGTCAGAACAAGACAAGCATAATGAGAACTAAAAATTTGACAGTATAACTACAGTTTCTTAGCTTTTAGATCGAGTTCTATGGATTGCGTAGAGTAGTGCCAATCTCTTGGCTGTTGCGCAACTGCCCCAACTGAGAATGCTATCAAATTACTAAACATGGTTGACCGTGAGCACAAAAACATGAGTGTCATTACCAAATATATAATGAGTTGTTGAGATATTACATTACAAAAATATATATGGGGAGAAGCTCCTGAAATACGGAAGCACCTCTGTAGAATTCTCAAGCAACATCGAGAAAAAGTGATAAGTTTCAAAAAAACATTTGTGACACTTCAAAAAAATATGAACTCTCTCACCACAACAGAGCAAAAAACTGGGACACGAATCATCAGTTAGATCATGGGAAACATACTTTCTAGCACCTCTCCTAACTGACAAGAAAAAAGGTCATCTATTCCAGCAGCAGGACCAGTAGCACCAGAAGGTAAGACATACAAACATGTGGGACATCTGTTGTCAGATGCATCATATCTCATTTCTACTTTTCAACTTTACTAACAAACTTCGACAGCTAGTTTTATTTCATTTGAACATATTTCTAACAATAGAAAATGTCAAGAAACGCCTCTAATCCTCATAAGTTATCTTGATTTTTCTGCTCATGAGACAGAAGAAAGTGTATATATATATGATTGATCAGATGGAGATTAAGAAGACCAAAAAAAACAATTGAAATGGCAATTACTCATCAGCAAAACATAGCGTGAGAATTTAAGATTTCTGCACAAGGGACGTACTGTATTTCTAATTATTAAAAACAAACAGTCATGTACAAGGGGAAGAATGAAATTTCAAAGAAAAGTGAATGAAGTAAGAAAAAATATGAGAAAAAGAAAAAAAAGAAGAAAAGAATCTAAGACAAAAAGTAAAATGTGTGTTTCTCATGTAGGCTGTGCTAGCATCTATAAATGAATTAGTTGAACACAAATGAAATATTGGTTAAGAAAATTCAAATTCTGCGATGTTATTTGACTATTCTTGATAGGTAGCCTTATACACAGTGAGCCATTCATCTCAATTTGAAAATAAAGAGAGGCTAGAATCGGAAACAGTGCTAATTACATGTGCAAGCAGGAACAAGATAACAAATGAGTAGAAAAATTGAACATCTGCCTTTCTCTCTCAAACCTCACTAGTTCTCCTGCTCTTGTCATTTTAGGTTGAATGGTGAAAGCGAGAAATGACACAAACGTGTCATCATATGAATAGAGGACAATCAGATTTTAACCTCATGGGACACTAATCCGTATCATTAAGGTAATATGACATAAAATGTTGTAGATGTGACAAGATATATTAAGTGAGATAGACTAACAATGAAAAAAAACAGATTACCTAAAGTTCATCAGCTGTTATGTTTCAAATAGTTTATACAATAACTATACTTCATTTCATTTATATATGAAAAGTGATATTAAAGAAAGTGTTATTGACTAAAATTTTTTAAGCGTGATGAAGAAACTGTTTTCCTTTCTACGCATTATCGTCTATTAGATGTAGTGACAACATGTCAACAAGTTGAGCTAATCAATCACAACGATTGAGTATGGTTGTGAAAATGATGATGGGTGGAACGTTGGACCTTTGCATGCAAGAAGAACAAAAACAGCAAAAAAAAAGCTAATGAGACAAAAATAAATAAAACAACGCGATCCCTTACGTGTATTACTTACTCAACAGATTACGCACGCTGTATAAGCACAGTAAGTACGGATGAGTGAGCATAAAAATTGAACAAATATGGATATTGTTAACGATGAAGAAGAATTAGGTAGACGACGAATATATAAATATTTCTCATTACCCATTACTGAAATTAATTCCAGACAGCAAGATAAGTAATGCTAGGCCTCATAGAGAGCGAGGAAGTAAAAAATAACAATAATGAGGACAGCGTAGGATATTAATGATCAAAGCTCAGTTACATACTAAGTATTTTCAATTTTAAATGCATTTTTTTTTCAAAAATAGTACATATTGCTTCTCACAGCTGGGTTATTATCATTTCAATGAAAAATTCAGACAGTCTGGATGGATATTGAAACATTAGCCATGTGGCAGCAGACAAATTCAAAATTCTTTATATGGAAAACGAACACAAATGGGCCACAAATTTGAATGAACCGCGGTTCAACACTTTTTAAAACATTATAATGTCTAGCGTGGCCACTTAATAGTTGGCATGCCTATCTAATTATTATTCGCTCATGGGAATTGCTTAAAACCCTCAGCATGCACTGTTGGAGGTCCTCGTAGCTAGCATCAGTTGCGATTGAAAAGACGAGCAGTGTCAGCTATGTCAAGGGCGATTAAAGGAATTTGAAAGAAATAGGCTCACTTGGCCGCACCCAATATGGCAAATAAGGCAAACTGAATCATGTTATGTGATTTCAAATATGTCTAATCACCATAGATAGAAACAGATTTAAATCTTCAATAAGGCGAAAATATAACTAGTGAAAGATGATAAGAGTTGCGTAAAACTAGAGATAGTATGTAATAACTTGAATGTACATACTTTCTCGCATAGATAAACAACTTATCTTAAAACATAATATCACGATATCAGTGCGATATTGACACCAGTCTCAATTAACTTAAGGAACTATTACTAAAGAAATGGTGAAACAAGCAAAAGAGACTTTTCTGATAGCTGAAAAATAATAAAACTGTACAACTTAAAAAGGAACTATGAGGCTTTCCACAAACCCATTATTCCAGCTGAACCACGGCGAATTTGAATCGGCGTGGGTAAGACATAAAATAAAGACTGTAGAATGTGAGAGCGTGCAGACAGTGATCAGGGTCAATGGGGCGCAGAAATACAGGAGAGCTCGTCCAGCTCCCCATGTAATCAGAAGAATTCATAGAGAAAGGAAAACCTTTTTTTCGTAAAAAAGGAGATAAACTAAATTGTTTGAGATATGGAAGTGGAGATAAAACATCAAAATAAAGTACAGAAGTAGTCATTAGTTTTCAAGCGAAATAAATACGAAAAAAAACGAATGAAACTATGAAAATAGTGAATAAATTAATATTACTATTTAAAGATTTATGATGTAGAAGTAGCTGTTCTCTGCTCAAAGAGCATATGAAACAGGCGGAGATCGTAAATAGCATAGTGTGGAGCTATGAATGAGGTCGTCCATCCATCATAAGACTATAATTTATGCTTTAACTGACACTTCAGTAATAATGGGAATTATCCTAGTAAATCTCTAGGTAGGTAAAGAACGTAACAGTTACTATATATGAATTATTGATTTAGAGTAAATGATGACAGATATTATAGATAGAAAGAACTCAGGTTAAAAATATTTCATATGAACAGATGAAAAGTAACTATTTCTCAACAATTTGGGAAACATGAAAATAAGGAATTCAAATTTGCCAATAGGTTGATTGCTTGCTTTTAGCAAGGCTGTTCGTACAAGAAAATGAAAATGGGAAGGCAGGTGTAGCCCAGATGCGCCATAGGGAAAACCTTTTGTTGGCTGGCGGGGCTATATCGAAGTACATTACAGACAGATAATTGCTCTTTAATTCGGACCTTTATGAAGAGAAAAAGATTGTTTTTTGAATACTAATGATAATATTCGACTATGTAAACAGTTGATATCACAGTACTACTCAATGATATATATTGCATAGATATATATATATATATATATATATATTCTCATATATATATACACATATGTATGTGCGTGTGTATCCACAAAAATAGGAAATAAAGAAAATATGAAAGAATGATGAGAGAAAACTGAATGAAGCAATAGAAGTTAGATATGGTCATGAGTGAGTATGTGCATGAGCAAACTTTTGGCATATCTGAAGCTGACAAGCAATATGTTTATTCACTTCATAAAAGGTTAGTCCATGCCACATATAAATGCCAATTAAAACAAATACAGATGGATTTGTAGTATAACGATCAATCGTTAAAATGTAAAAGCATCTGACTATACAAATGATAGAATGCGAATACAAATAATAACAAATGAAGAAATATAAAATATATTTGAAGAGGAGCTTAGTTCTTATTCTATCCAAAAAAGGTGCTTCTACATATAAGTGGAGAAAAACATTAGAATTGCTTTTTCTAATAAAAGAAAACGATTTTTGAATGACTGGAACAATAAAGAAGTATTTCACAAAGATTTTAATGATGATGAGGATGGATAGGTGAGATACGATTTAAAGATAAGACGTTGAGTTGTTACTGTCAAATCTACAAGGTCATTTTCTTGTTGACTTGGACACATTAGAACTCAAAAAAGTGTTTGCTACATGACAAGCATTCCCACACTCATCAGTTGTTAGTCAGTAATGGATGCAAAAGAAACAGTCTTTGCAGGAGAATGACATAAATGAAGGTAAAAAAGGAGGGTCGAGAAGTGAGTGGAATGATTTCCAAAGGAACAGTAATAGAGGTCTAGCAACATATGACTGTAATTATGTTATAACCAAAAATTATAATTACTATAATGAACACAAGGTAGTTAGCAATATATATAGACAAATATATATTTATGCAAAAGTTAAGTTATAGTAGCCAGATTTGCAAGAAATAAGTGAATTGTCTAAAAATAACTCAGTATTGAGCTTGTTTAACGCTTCTTGGCCTCAGGACCTTTGATTCAGTTGTGTCATATTAGATTCATCAACGAATCTAACTCGGACTAATGAACATGCGAAGATTGCCAAAGAATACTTTCGCTAGCTAACATATGTAAAGCCAATTTTGTTATATCTTGGCGGGCAATTTGTTAAAAAGAGATAGATTCTAAGAATGTAACAGAATGTTTAATATTGAAAGTTGCTACAGAGAAGCGGAAAAGCTACATTGCAATTTGAAATGGAAGAATAGATTGTTAAATAGCAAAATCAGATGAGGCCTCTCTTTCGATCATGAAAAATCAACAAAAAAGGAAGAGAAATAAAGAAAGAAAGAAGAATAAGAGAGAGAGAGAGATAAAGAGCAAACTGGATAAATTGGATCGTTAAGTCATATGAGAAATATACAGATGACTGCGAGCATATAATATAAATAATTCAGATGAACAGATGACATGATAAGAGGACGAAAAAAACATTTGCACACATCCAGTATTGCGCAACTTTAACTGACCTGGATACAGATGAACAATCCTTATTCAAGAAAAAAACAATTTTTCTAGGAGAGCAGGAAGAGACCAGATTGCTAGTTATTCTTTCGTAATTCCTATATTTTGTACCATCTATAACAAAGGCTAATGACATTTATGAATGAAGAATCACTCACTTAAGAAAAATATGAGCATTTCATTAATGAATGATTACGAAAACTAGAACGTTGCATAACACTCGAAAAATATTCAAAAGTCAAGGCAGATGTACGACCGAACTTCAAGAAATGAATTCCAGAAATAAAACCAGAATGACGTGAAAAAAAACAACTTCACGTATTGACCACGTGAATTATGACGGAAAAATCATTTAAACGAATCTGGCGCGCTAAGCATCGGTTGTGCGCGAATGCACACTGTTTGCGACCGAACACTTCCTTCGTTTCAAATCAAAAATACAAAATTCAATATTTTCAAACAAAATCAAATCATGGTGGGAATGTTTTCTCTGTTTCTATAGCTTAAATGATGATAGATATTAGGCTTTACATTTCATCTGAGATTATGGTTTAAATTAGCCCCCCCAACTCATGTCATTAGTGGCTATTACTCATTTTTCATCTATTCTCTTATGCTAGCGTTGATATTTGAATAATTAGAGCCTCGTCTTATACGCTACAAATAAGTCTATGAGCAAGCTTATCTATGTGAATGAATCATCAGTTGGCTAAGACAGTATTGTGGTGGTTGTCACTTTAGGCCGTAAACGTTTGCAATTCATTTTGTTTGCTTCGCGTTTTCTATAAGTTTGATTTTTTTTTTGGGAATAAAACCCTCATAGCGCTTTCAGTTTAGAGATGTTGCTTGACGCTGTTTGTGAAATGAGGGGTCAGTCCATAGATAACATAGCATGTTTAATTGACGAAATGAATGTGCTTTTGAACATCGCTGTCTTTGAATCCCCTATATTGCCTTGGCCTCTGCTGAACCTTCTATAGCCCTTTATAGTTGGTAGTTATCCTCGTCTATTCGTTTTTTAGTTAAGATTATATGTGGTTTTCTTTACGCATTTCTTGAGCTGTCTGATTCTTGCAAATAGTTTAGCTGCAGTTTGTCCATGAAATAAGAAAGCCCTCTATTTTACTCCGACCTATTCAAGCAGATTCGCCCCTCTGTTGAAAAATGATGGCTATTTTGAGTCCCGATAACTTGTTTAGTTGTTGATATGTTGAGGAAGTTGCAAGCGAGGTACTCGTTTCCTCTTCAATTTCAACGAAACCAACTTAGGAGCCTGCAGAGCAAATTTATGTTAAGCGTTTTATGTGAATTTTTCAAGGATTATATATGAGCAAAGCTGAAGAAATGCCAGCAGCTAACTCATCACTTGATTTGTTATTATAGAATCATAATAAATAATTCCATACTAGATAATCAGTCTGCTACAACTAACTGACTTTTTTTTCTGTATTATATAAGATTTTCATACAATTTCGATTTGACGTTTACCACTTTGCTATGTAACATTGTCTTGAACGATTCAGGGATAAAAATTCCGCATTGTTCTCTAGTTAAAGCTCTGTTGCTCATCCATTGCTAAGTTAAAAATAAGCAATAAATTAAAGGATCTAGCTATATTGTGAATACTTGCTGCTGTCCAACAGTAGTAAAAACTTTAAGACGAGAAAGAGGAAAAAAAGATAGGCTGTATAAGGAATATTCACTAGTTTTTATGTGCTCACAAAAAATGGAAAAGATAGACGGAAGAGAAACAGAGACGCTCTTTACTCTCTGTCTGCGAAATGCATGACAAGGACGTCTGCTCTGCGTCTCTGCTCCTCTACCTGCTGGGCTTTTGACAAATTGACCACAGTGGGCAACCTGTTCTTCTGTTTTGATTAATATCATGCTTAAAAAATAGTTTTTTTTCGTGAAATCTTAACACATGAAACTGCTTTTGATTTGATTTCACGTATTCATATATTCTTCATATCACTTCTTCAACCTTCTTGTTCATAAGATATTAGTACAAAAATCATTATTTATATCATATTACTTCAGGGATTGTTGTTATCACTTGGGTAGATGGATCTAGATGATCACACCCATATGAAAATGGGTGAAGAACATTCTGAAGACCAATCACATAACGTGGAGAACGATGGTAGTTTTTTTTCAACTTTTGCTTACGTGGCTTATCTAGACTCTACCGCAGTTCCTCAGACAACAATGCCCGAGACTGTTGAAATATCATTGGATGATGATGTGGCAGAAAATAATGAAATAAAAACCATTGAAGAAGAGAGGAGAGAAGAAGCTGAAATGGAAAGCATTGCACTTGATAATTCAGTTTCAGAGGATGCTAGTCGTGTTTCTTCGGAAAAGTAATAAGCTTCATTTTTGTTTTTTTATACACTCTAATTTCAGTGTTAGTCAATCAACTAATGATTTTGAAAAAGAGGATGGTCAGATTATTGGTTTGTTTTATGATGATTATTTCTTTTCTATAGTCCATGTTGACATAAGAGACACATGTTCCAAAACAATATGTTATAAAGTTCAAATGTTTCAGATGTTATGATTGAATCGGTAGAGGAGATTGTTAAACAAGAAGAGTCTGCTCCGGAACCTGAAAATGATCTTGACGCTGAAGTTGCTGTTTCGAATGGGTTTTCCACTTTGTCGCTTGAAGACTCTAAAGCTGAACCAAGCTTAGAGCCTTTACCTGAAGGCAAAGTCTTAGAGGTTGCTATTTTTTTTGTTTTTTGGAAAGCTTTTGTTTCCCCCTTTTGAACTTGCAAGTATTTGTTTTCAACCTCTAGGAAATATGTTCACGTTGGGATGATATGCGTGCTTCCATGAGTACCCCAACGCTAGAAGTTCAGCTTGATTTAACTCAACCTAGTCCCGTACAGTCTAGACCATCTAGTCGCCGTGAAAGCTTAGCACAAATTGTGTTTCAAAGAAGAGACTCTCGTGCAGCTACACCTGTTTCCGTTAGTGCATATAATGCAGAATATTTTTCACTCTTTACTAAGAATAGTTCCATTAACATGTAGAAATATGCATCTAACTCCTCTTACAGTGAAATCTTATTAGTAAATCCAAGATAGTTTTTTTTAGGTTGAAGCTGTTGCATCACTTCCAAGAATCATGTCCAAGACTACAACAATTCATAACAGCAATGAAAGCCCTCAAGAAATTTTTGAGAGGTTAATAAAAGGAATAAAGGAAGAAACTTTAGAGCGCTCTGAGATTGTTGATCAACTGTTCAATGTGGTTTGTCAAATTATTCGAACTTTGATATCTAATTACTTTTAGCTGGTAGACGGACAGTTTGATTTGGAATCCCGATTTATCATCGAAGATTTTACAAATGTGGATCGAATGCTTACTCTCTTGACTCATTGTAATGAGCCCCTTCAGGTTCTCCAGTTTGGATTTTTTTTGAACAGGTTTTTGTAGGCCGAAATATGGAGTGTTTTTGTTGCTCTGGTAAAGAAGAGTAATCGGAATTTAGAAGCTTGTTCGCGTGTTAGTTTGATAACTAGGTTCGCATTTTTATCAAAAGGGATCAAATGAATATTCCATTCAGAATTCTCGAGATATTACCAACTGCTAATGAAGTTCCCACCGATTTGCTCATTCAATTGCTCGGTTTGCTGACGACATATTCTATAACAGTCAAAGAAACCAAACTATTTCTTCGCTCCTTACAAGCAGTTGATAATGCTTGGGTGAGTACATCAACTCATAGCGTGAATTATCTCTCTTCAGCCTGCACATGCTATGAAGCTGTTACAAGTAATGACAGAAATGCCTCAAAACGACTGTGCTGATGTATTCTTCTCTTTCCCGGGTAAAGCTCAAGCAGTAAGATTTATCCAAGAAGAATCAATCGGTTCAATATTAATATATTAGGGTATCATTATTCCACCGTTAGCGAAATTCCCTCAACAACAAGGATGGACATTTGCTACATGGCTCCGAATGGACCCACTTAATAGTGTAACTTTTGAGAAGGAACGACCTTATTTATATTGGTGCGAAGAGTGTGTATAACTGTGGGTTCATAACAGCCTTTTGTAGTTTCCGAACGAGTAAAGGTGTTGGGTATTCTTGCCATTTCACGGGTAATTGTCTAGTAATCAATTCTGAAAAAACTAAAGGAAAGCCACTATCAAAATGCATGAAGGTATATTCTCAGTAATCTTAAAAATTTCATTTCTGATTCTTGTTAAGGCCGAACTAACTCCTCGTCGTTGGCATCATGTAGCAATAGCTCATCATTATTCTCGTTGGGGTAGAAGCGAAATTAAATGCTATTTGGATGGTCAGTTAGCAGAAAGTGTAGATATGAGCTGGTACTTTTATTATCCATTTCTGGATTTTCTATTTCCAAATACAGGGCTTTATCCACTACGGATCATTTCGATCGGTGTGCCATAGGAGTGTCCCCTGAAGGTGATGCTGATAGTGCCTTTTGTGGGCAACTCGGAGCAGCTTACTTGTTTTCTGACGCTCTAACATTGCAACAGGCACATTCTCTGTTCTGCTTGGGACCCGCATATCAGTCTTATTTCAAGCATGATTCTGAAAGTAATTTACCAGAAGGTTACAAGAAAGTAAGTTTCGTTACTATTATTTTTCATTGAAAAAGTTTAGCATTTGTTCGATGGACGTCTCAACAACTCTCTTGTTATGGCATACTGTCCGAAGAACTGTCATGGCCAATTGTGTTTACATGCTCCACAAAAAACAAATACTGGATACTTCGTGCAAATTCCACATGCTGTTATGAAAGAAGTTAGAGTTACAACTTTGAGGTTTATTGATAGTTTCAATGCAGGGAGTTGAAGTTATTACAACTCATTCGATTCATAATTCATTGCAATCTGTTGGCGGTATCCAAATTCTTCTCCCACTCTTTTCTCAGATAGACTTGCCTCTTCAGGATGGTACTGCTGTTAACCAGGACGTTTGGTAAGCTTTCTGTATATTTACTAGTTTTTATTCGTTATCTCTTTCAGCTCAACTCTGCTTTCATTGATATCTAAATTGTTACGTAGCTCCCAAACCAGTCAACAACAACTTTACCATAGCAAAGGGTTTCTTATTATATCTCACGCTCTTCAAAAGGTACATTATTAACTTTGAACTCTGTGAACTGTTTGAAACAGGCAAATTCGTCTCACTTAACCATGAAAGTCGTGGAGGGTGTCATAGGGATGGCTAAATTCTTGTTAACTTGTCCAGCTGGAATTTTGTTATTGAAGCAACTTTTCGATCATATCCTTTTTAACCCAAAACTCTGGATCAATAGTGACCCCACTGTCCAGGTATTTTTTCGAGTATTCTTCTTATATATCATTCTTGTCATCTTAAGAAGCATCTGTATACCTACTTATCCACTGAATTCTTGGGTAACTCTATTTTCCCTCAAATTTTGAGGCGAGTCCCTACAGTTGTTGAAATGTGCCATGCGTTGAAACATTTTTATTGGGTGTCGCCACCAGCAGCCCCATCTACCTACACAGTGGAACAGCGAGACGAGCAATTCCCTATTAATTGTGTTATTGATATAAGGTATCAGAATCACAGAAAACGTTTAGAATATAACAAACTTCAGAAAAGAGATTTTACGTTTCATGAGAAGATTGATTACCATGACTTCTGATGAAGGAGAAAATAATCGAGATGAAGAAATTCATACTTTACTCAACTTCGTTGCTACTGTGAATGAAGACGATAATCTTTATGATGTTCTGGAGCTCTTAGTTTCGTTGCTGAGTGAGCATCCAGCAATGATGATTCCTGCCTTAGATAAGAACAGAGTAATTTTTTTTTCATATATGAAATATACGTTTTTTTTGTTTTCTAGGCACTTGGTGTTGTTTTCAAACTTCTAACGTCACCAAACCAATTGATTCGTTTACCAGCGCTTAAACTTTTTGGTTTCTTCCTACAAAGAGCTACGTTGAAGTCGGTCCTTCTTCCAACTTTCGTATTAATTTTCGATTTCCAGAAGAAAGAATGAAAGTGTCTCATCTCTCAATCTTTATACACTCATTACTGAGAGGCTACTTTTGCATTGCTCATTTTTATCTATTCCCATCTATAACATATTATTCGAAGTACTAGTAGAGAGAGTCACTGGAACCACTAACTTCTTGCTCCAACATCCTGCTCGACCAGATTGGCGGTGATTATTATCTGAGTTAGCATTAAGTTTATGCATCAATGTTCAGATTTGAAAATCCTACCCTTCTTAAAGTGATCGCCAACTTGATTCAACAGTCAGAAGAAACCGAAGAGTTGTTGTCAGTCAAAAAACATTTCTTACTTGACTTGATCAGCATGTGTCGTGATGTCAAAGAAAATCGAAGGTTTACTCAAGTGTTGCTTTCTTTATTTCATTCCGTTTTTAAGGACGATACTGCAAATGTCTGTATGGCAGGAATGGCTTATTTCACTGACTTACATATTCCCACAAACCGAGCCGGAAGCCGAAATCTCTGAATTAGTATACGAAATTTTCTCCATTCTTTTGCACCACGCCGTGCGCTATGAGTACGGTGGCTGGCGTGTTTGGGTAGATACTTTAGCTATTGCGCACTCGAAGGTTTGTCATTCTGAATAATTACCTATTCCATTTTTACGTCTTCAGGTTAGCTGGGAAAGGTTTAAGCAACAGTCCAGCCCTTCCAAAGTTACATCTAATGATCCAAATAATGAAGAAGAAGATAAGAAGAGTGCAGATGAAAAACCAACGCCAATATACAGAACTCCAGAGTTTTCTTGGTCTCATGTGCATTTACGTTTACTGAGTGATCTTCTGACAAGTATTGAGGGTATCGTCGATGAATGGCGAGTGTAAGTGTTATTCATGTTAACTCTTGTATATTTTTCGTTTTATAGCCCCGAGAATCCATCAGCAGCCACTGATCAATGCAATCATAATGATAATCAGATATTTGTCGGAAACGCAGTTCATGTTATATCCCAATTGTCGGACAGCCTGATCATGGCTTGTGGTGGTCTATTGCCACTGTTGGCATCAGCTACATCTCCAAATGTATTCGTTTCAAGATGTGCGAAAGCCAATTCTCACAATTTCAGAGCGAGCTGGAAATTATTGATGCAACCCAGCAAGATCTACCTATTGAAAGTGCAGCACATTTGCTATCTCGTTTTGTCCAGTTGGCGGATGTCTTTGTTCTGAATAGTAGTGTCTCGTTTTCTGAGCTAGAACATGTAGCTAGATTTTCAAATATTTACAATAAGTGATTATTTGTAGGAAAAAAACATGCCTACAGGCGGAGTGCTCCGGCAGGCGCTTCGTTTGGTAGCGACTTCTGCTGTTCGTCACATTCTTGCTGCTCGTGTATCCAGGCCCGATTATAACCATGGGCAGTCCTTCGATGTCAACTCTTGCCCTAGGAATCAGGCTATCTATAAATTTGTTCGCGGAGCTATAGAAGCTGTAAGTGTTTTCTGATTTGAAAGTTTCATATTTTCTTTTCAGCAAGGGAAAGAAGGCATAACAAATATGGATCATATCCTGCAGGAGGTAGATTTGACCCGAGTTAAAGGAATAGTGTACCGAGATATGGTGGTAGGTTAACACACGTTGAATAATTTTATCAATTTTTGTTTAGGAGGAAAACAGACAAGCCCAATTTTTAGCTTTGGCAGTAATTTATTTACTGTCAGTCCTGATGGTATCTCGTTACAGGGATATTCTAGAACCACCAGTTACACCTAGTCCATTCTTCAACTCTACGACTACAGGAGGTATGATAACGGAAACCGATCATAGTTATCTCGATGTTTCAGAAGAAAGTGAGAATCACAAGATATCAGTGTCATCCGAAAAGAGTGAAGTTCCGTCATCTCCAATTGAGGAGTCTGGTGTCAGAAATGAGCAAGAGCAGCAACCTGGAATTACTTCGATCAACGTTGCCCCGAAAGTATTGAAAGGCGATGGCAATGATTACAAAGTACGCATTCATTGCTAAGTGTTAATGATTTTTTTGTTGCAGACAGATGAGCTATCAAAGATCGGGGGTGGTACAACACAAACTCCAGCAATGGAGCCTGGAGAGCGTAGACAGTATTTGACTGATAAGCTTCAAAAAGCCCTAGAGACTACTGCGCCACTTTTACGAGAGATCATGAGTGATTTCAGATCTTATTTACAGAAGACGTTAGTTGGTACTCATGGGCAGGAAATAATGAATGATACCAGAGGTTCCGAGAAACTTCAAAATGATGTTCATTTTATTATTTTTCAGTTTTGGAAACCTTGAAGAGTAGGCAAGGATCTGTGATCGAGCTTGTTATGCTTTTATGTTCACAAGAATGGCAAACCTCATTACAAAAGCATGCTGGACTGGCTTTTATCGAACTTGTCAACGAAGGTTTGTCTGGTTCAGTTTTTCTGTTCTATATTTGTATAATGAACAGGACGACTGATGGCTCACGCTACTAGAGACCACGTGCTACGTGTTTCTAATGAAGCCGACTTCATTCTTAATCGCCTTCGTGCAGAAGATGTTAGTAAACATGCCCAGTTTGAGGTAAGATATTCACTATAACAGTATCTAAACTGGGAAATGTTTAAAGAGCGATACGGCCGAACAGCTCCATCAACGTCGCGAAGAAGAATCCAGATGTGATCAGTTAATTCGTAGTGGAAGAAGAAGAGATGGTCTTGTAGCAGCTAAGCTTCTTGATAAAATGACTACGATTTTGAGAAGTCCTAGTGGAGCTTGGAGTACCCAAGATAAATCACCGTACGTGCTCAAATTAAAAACAGAAAAGTTTATTATTTTTAGACAAATGTTCTGGAGGCTTGATGTGTGGGAAGACGATAGCAGAAGAAGGAAGAGATTTGTTCCCAACGTATACGGAAGCAAGCACTCCGAAGCTAGCGTTATTTCTGAGCCAGAAGAGAATGAGACAGAAGAAAAACGACTTCGTAGGATTGCGTCCAGGTATCTGAGTGCATATTGATGATGTATTGATGTTTTGTTTCAGTATTGCTCCCGGAAAAGGTCAATCCTCAGAATTGGTTGATGAGAGCGATATTGATAAATGGGCTGCTGAAGTTGATCCACCCCCCAGTAGCGGTGAGTAGTTTTCATCCATTTATTTGTCTTTGTTCCTAATTGGGATGATAAGATCTATATTGAGGACGTTTTATTACCTCTTTGTTTTTGAAATTGCGTTCCTCAACAGTTCCTCAGTCTGATCTAGTATTCAAACACTTATCGGGATGTAGAATTTTACAAATTTTGAGCAATTACGATTTAATGATCTGGGTCAGTATCTGTACCCTAACCAGGTGTTTTCCCGCTGGCTTGATATTAGTATTCTCAACAGACTAGGTGTAGCTCAATCTCTATCCATCAGATAAGAAAATCGTAGGTCATACTACGCTGATGATTTGCTTCCGATTGCTTGATTTATGCAATAGCTGATTGTGTAATGCGCATATCACTCTGTGGGCTCGGGGGCGCGATTTCTTGAGAGTGAATCCAGAAATGATGAGAGGAGTCCCTGACCAACGGTTGAGAAGATGATTCTGTCTTTTCCTCTGACTGACAAGATGACATGACCGCCTGTCGCCTCCATTAATTAAGTAGACGACGAAAGTTCTCTATCAGTGATTTGAGATATCTGTTTCTCAAACAGCTTGCTTTTTTAATGTATGTTTGATTTCGTACGAAAAATACATTTTTGAGGCATGAGAAAGTATTAGAATCATTGTGATGTTGGATGTTATTTTCTTGGGGAACTTTTACTTTTTTGGAATATTCTTTATTTAGTGATAGATTTTCTTGAAAGACGTTCGTTATTTCTAAATCCTCGAGTCTCAAAAAGAATCATGGGTGACAAGCATGTAGAGCCTTCCTTCATTCTGGAATTAGGTAGGATTATTATGTCGCTCAAGACTTGGGGTAGTGTGCACGAAGGAACACAAGACACCAATTATGAGAGAGCAGTCAAAAGTCATTTATTTGATGTGGCCACTCCCATTATATCTTATTATGGAATAAAGATCATTTTTCATCAAATCTGTCGTCAGCCATAGTTAGGTTAAGCACCAGATGGCTACATCATAATTAGGTGACGTGAAGCAACATGAGAGTTCTTCATGTAGAGATTATGAGGCAGTAAATAGGAACCTCTTGAACACTTCAATGATCTAATACAATCCGTTTATATTTTTTTTTCGGTCTAGAAACATTGCATTTTCAGAAAGCACTAGCTATAGCACATTTGCGAAGTTAATTGCGCCTGGACTCATAGTACCAGGAACCTTGTCTATCACGGCTACTGATCTTTATTTTGATGCTGATGAAGAACATCCTTTGTATAAGCAACAAGACGCAAAAGTAAGTTCAAAATTTTAATCGCAAGAAAGACTATATGGGAGGGTTAACAGATATCAGAAATATTAAAAAAGTATATTACAAAAGGACTCGTAATTAATGATAATGTTAGCCTGCTGTGTCATGGGCTTGAAATGAGATTTCACTTTAGTGGTGTATAATTATGAGAAGGTTTGAAAAAAAACCTATAAGGCTTCAAGAGCACGGGCGTTTAGCATCATTTTCCGTACTAAATTCCATGCCATCTTAGAGCCTTGATCAATCAGATGAATAGGTTTTCCACGAAGCAAGTCAAGTTGTGGCATGAAATAATGAGCACATCTTCGACACTGCAAGCAGCTTACTAATTGCAGCAAAATTCCTGTAATTGTTCAATTTTACTAACGCGAATTAGGAACGCTGCAACACTTTTTTGTCTACTTCGAAAGAAAAAGATAAAATCTCTGGCTGTGCTTGCCATTGTTTCTTCTCTGGAAGTGCACGTTTTTTGCTTCAGCATTAACAACTTTCTATTATCTTAATTCGATTAGAAAGTTTTGCGTAAGACAACTTCTTTCTGAATCATAATATCGGAAAGTATAAGATTGTGAAGGTTAGAATAGAAATTAAGATTAGCAGAAGCGTTGGCAGTTTTCTCACTAATTTTTCCTAATCAATAATGCGAATTTACCTATAATTCGATCCCCTAAGTTTTGATCTTCCCATTCATAATCGGCGCAATGTTTCTCACATTCGTATAGTAATAGAGTTTTCAATATATAGTTTGTGATAGGTGTTCCGGAGAAGTCTAAATGGCGATCGCGTAAGCATTTGAGGATGCTCAAGGTTTTTCGGCGAGTACCAGCTGAAAGAACACTATCCTCAGTGGGCCTTGAATTATTCACTTACAGATGAGCGCATTTTCTGCTCCTAACATATTCATAGCCCAGGCATCGCCTTCCATTGAATTCGTTTGTTTATTTCCCTGAGTGACCATTCCACTCGTTTCTCTGCTAGTTAAATCGAATCCTTCACTCTTCACCTGGAGAACATCATGCTTACACACAGAATGGTTGTCAAAATTCATAAAGAATACAACAAGAAAGCTGAACCTACTTCAACAGCCACAGCTGGATTAGGCCATGGTATTGAAGAGTTGGGCCAATGACTGGCTGAACGTGGCCAAATGCCACTGCACCGGAAAGCACAAGTTATTTGGACAACGTATTTATCGTCAATTCGGATGCGGACATCGCTTGTGTCAGTCAGAAGCTTGCAATGCTCTCTGAAATCTTTATATACTATGTTCAAAAGGTTCGTAGATTACCTGAACGGAGTCTTCTCAATAACTTGCCCTACTAATGTCTGGAAACGGCTTCTTATTTTCCGAGCTGATAGATATCCACTTGCTGTTATGAATTCCACCCAAAGCGACATCGAACGTTTCCGGCCATCGCTTAGTTTGAGAACTGCACATCCTTGAATAGATCCGTCGTCAACGAAGTTGAACACTCCCATTTGGTTCAGATATAGAACTGCTTCGTATTCATGTGGCGAATGCACAATCATCTAAACACATGTGTAATGAAGCTTTTTGAGAGTACTTACCCCGTCAAATCTCCCATTTGCTTCATTCAGCGTTGATATGAAACGAGGTTCCTGGGTTTCTACTTCTTTCAAAATATCTTGTACAATCTTAGCTATCCTGTAGACAGTTTTGTGCACATGTGTCTTGCGCATTTGTACTTTCTCATTATAGAAGTTTGAGATTTGATATGGTATGTTTCTATCAGGAGCTAACATACTTGAATTGGAAGTATGAGTTTAAAATAAATAAAATATTTATGAAATACAAAAATAAGAAAGTGAATTAATTTAGAGACGGCTTGCTCTTTCCACTCTTATAATAATATAGAAATGGGCCAGCCTGTTAGTGCATGGTGGGCGGGGCGTGAGCCAGACTGGAGAAAAGGAATAGCTTTGGATGATTGTTGTCTGTTCCGAGTGATGGGTTCTCCACTTTCTTCTTGAAACTGGTTGGACCTTAGTTGAGCGAAAACGGAGGGTAGGAGACAGCACGTCTTATAGGCTACAACTGGCGTGAAACAAAAAAAAGAGAAGGAGCACCACAACCACCGCACAATCAATCGGACTTGGGTACTGGATAGGAAACGTTTTCTCTCTTTTCTCTCGCTTCTTTTCTTTTTTCTGTCATTCTCTATTATTCTCTATCTATTTCGCTGATGATGCTACTGATGAACTCCGCCCACTATATGTGTGTGTGTGGATCAATGGTATAAAAAGGACGTCATCTCATGATGACCAGATAGGTAGATGCAATTGTTAAAACAGGTTTATATGCTTGCTAATCAGTTAAAGTTAAGGATACTCACTTTAGTCATTTTCTACTATATTGGTCATAGTGAAGTTCTGAATAAGCGCTAATGGTTCTTGGAAGTTGTCTATAATGATGACCTTCAATAGATCAGTTGTTGGACCCTCCAGCCTATCTGAACGCATCACCACGGTTTTCTAACAGTCCTCGCAACAACGATCAGCAGTTTGACGTGTATGAAGAAAAAAAGATTGATAGATAGAGCGTTAGGTAAGACTAGCCTTTCCGCTTGTCTTCCGCCTCGACTACAGTGAATGAGACTAGATAGTCTTCATTATAGATGAAACGTTTGATTCTTTGTTTATCAGATTATAGTATATTATATAATTCACATCTGTGGTCATCGCGGTCTGACAGACCAGCATAAGTGTTCAAAATACTTTCGTGGATCATCACAAGCCTGAAATACTAGCCACCTCAGTGCTCCAAGGAGCTAACACACGTGTTGAGATCTTTCATCTGATGATATTTCTTCTCATCTACTAGCCTGAGAATTACAACAATAGGCAGTTGTTTATTCTAATTTGAAAGGAAGAGACGGAGGTGTCATGGTTGCGTGTGGTCGTTTTCAACACGCAACATTCATCTCTGTAATTACAGAACAACACTGATGAATTATGTGCCAACTCGAATTGTCATATACAATATGCCAAAGTATGACTTGAAGTTGTCTTGCTACATTATTCAGCTTTTCCGTTTATTCTTAATTTTGCAGTCAATTTGATGACAAGTTTTAGAAATTATTTTAATTTGGACGACATGCAGCAATCTGTTTGGGCAACAGATTGATGCCTGGCCTCTGCGCTCGGATTGTCTATAGTCTGTGAAAGAAATTCGACTGGCTTTATAAGAAGAAATAATTTATCAACACGTGATTTGCACTCTCCAGATTTGTGGGAACCTTTTCATCTCCTTATATTCTGAATGTCAACATCGAACTTTGAAGAAAGAAGAAAATTTCTCTTCGTGGTCAGTTCGCCTGACAAGAATGCGTTGGTCTTCACTTGAATTGAAAAGGCATTCACACCTGTCACATTTGGATTCAGGTCCAACTTTGATGAGACAGTTATCGTGTGACTGAATCGCTACTCTCAACTATATATATATATATATATATATACATGACCATATTTCTCTCTCCCATAATGGGGCTCTTTGATTGAAGAAATGATGAATCTTGATGACAATTACAATATAATAGTACATTAAACTCATTATCCTAATACGGTAATTGCTTGCCTGCAACCACCCGTGTCCTCTCACTTTGTTTTCTGGTTGAGTAAATCTCAAATAAATTTAGCTCATTAAACAGGATCACCGATAAAATTTGCGTTTTAGGTGTTGAGATATTGTGAATCCTTACATGGACGATGGAATCTATTGGAAATCCGTGCTGTCTTCTTGCGCAGACATTTGCTTCAGAATATAGCTCTAGAATTGTTCTTGGCGTCGAGAAGTGCGATCATACAAAAATTATGGGATGAATATCTATTTTTTAGGTGCTATCATGTTTGCATTCGTCGATCAAGAAACTGTGAAAAAAGTTGTATATCAACTTCCTAGAGTTGGAGTAGGTGTTAAGTATGGTCTTCCCCAGAGCAGAAAAACTAGTTTGATGACCCCCAAACAATTATTCAAGCATTCTGACATGAGCACCAAATGGCAAAAGGTTTGAATTATCATATTGAGCTCGAAAATATCTTGTTATAGAGAGAAATTTCCAATTTTGATTATTTGATGTTCATGAATACGGTAGCTGGGAGATCTTTCAATGATCTTAGCCAGTACCCTGTGTTCCCTTGGATACTCACTAATTACACTTCTGAAGTTCTAGATTTGAACTTAGCTTCCAATTTCCGAGACTTGTCTAAGGTATTTATAATATCAGAAAGCAGAACAATGTAGTTTGTAAATTCAGCCTATTGGAGCACTATCAGAGTCTCGACGTAAATTTTTCCAAGAAAGATATTCATCCTGGGAAGACGATACGATACCTCCTTTCCATTATGGAACTCATTACTCCACCCAAGCTTTCGCTTTGAATTGGTTGATGAGAGTGGTATGAGCTTCCCATATCTTTCTAATACATTGAGTTCGTTTTTAGGAACCATTTGCTACAATGTTTTTGAATATGCAAGGAGGGAAATTTGACCATCCTGATCGAGTCTTCCATTGCTTAGCGGATACTTGGGAGCGCTGTCAAAAAGATTCTCATGACGTGAAAGAATTAATCCCTGAGCTGTTCTATTTACCTGAAATGTTCCGAAACAGCAATTGTTTCGAATTAGGAAATCGTTCTGACAGCACAAAAGTTGATGATGTTGTTTTACCAGCATGGGCATCTAGCCCTGAAGAGTTTATTACCATCCATCGTCAAGCATTAGAAAGTGACCTGGTCAGCTGTCAGCTTAACTCATGGATTGACTTGATTTTTGGATACAAGCAAAGAGGCCCAGAAGCGGTACAAATTGGTTAAAGTATATGTGTGAACAATATAATTTCAGGTTCGCTCTACCAATGTTTTCTACTATCTTACCTATGAAGGAGCAGTTGATCTTAAATGCATTGAAAATCAGACGCAAATCGAAGCCATACAGTCTCAGATTATGTCATTCGGACAAACACCTGTTCAACTTCTAACTGAAGCTCATCCTCCTCGTCACAGTGTGATGAGCATGGCTCCTATGATGTTCCGAAGATGTGATGAGGACCTATGCATGTTGATGAAGTTCATTTCGAACAGCCCCATAGTGTATTTGGCTGCTAATACCTTTCCTCAGCTGGTGCAACCTACAGTCGTCTCAATTGCAAACAACTTGGTTTTCTCTTTGAACCGATGGGATAACAGTTTCTTATGTAAGGTCATTTATATGTTCGTTATGTAATCAGCATTGTTTCAGATGGGAATAATCGTTCGTCCATAGCTCTTGGAGATAAATCAAACGACTCTGATGCCAATCCTCAGGTTTAACATCGACTGAAACTCTTCTGACTTTCTTAATTGACAGAACGATCTTCCATTGACAGTTGATCCTCTCTTGGCCACTGGAAATCCTTCACAACCTTTACCTCGCCGACATTTGGGAGATGCTTTCGATCACAGATTGGCTATCAAGTGGAATAACTTCGTTACCACCACTGATAGTCGCTCAATAATTGCTTGTGGTTATCCGGACTATTCTTTCCGTATTATCGATACAGACTCAGGTGAGAACGGATATTCCAGTTTTTTTAAAGCCTGCCTTGTATTTGAAGCACGAGTTCGACAAGTCGTTTACGGACATGGTGATGTTGTCACTTGCATCGCACGATCTGAAACTAGCCTTTTTGCGGATTGCTATTTGGCTACAGGCAGTCTTGATTGTACGGTTGCACTCTGGCATTGGAATGGACAGGTAGATATTCTTGAGTTCATCCTAAAGAACTTTGTTTCATAGAACTGTTGCGTGGCCGGTGAATACAACCAACCAGGAGAAGTTCCTTCGCCTAGGGCGATTTTGACAGGGCACGACGCAAGAATTACTGCTCTGGCAGTATCAGCTGAGCACGGAGTAGTTCTGAGTGGATGTGAAGGTGGTAGAAGTGGGAGTCATAATAAATTAAACAATTTTCTTGAAGATGGTACAATCCTGATGCATACAACCACAGGCGACTTGTTGCGACGAGTTGAAGGAAGCCAGCGAGTGAGCTTATTGATGATGAGCCGTGAATGCATCATTCTGGCTTTGTTCGGCAATAATCATATCATGACTCTATCAACCACAGCTAGAATGTTGCATGAAGTCAAAAGTGATGAAAAGTTTGTTTTCTTTCAACCACACTGTTCCTCAATACTGTTTCATTAGAATCGAATGTGCCTGTTTGACACGTGATGGAGAATTCATCATTTTTGGTTCTGAAAATGGAAAATGTTCTGTTTGGCGACTGTTCCCACTCCAGAAACTGTATAGTTTCCAGGTAACATTTCTTTGTTTCTGACGTTCGTGAATTGACTTGTTTTTTAGAGTGTCGATGCTGCAATTAGATCTGTAGCTGTCTCTTCAAACCATCGTTTTGTTTTATGCGGATTAGACACTGGTGCTATCGTTGTATTCAATGTAGATTTCAATCGCTGGCACTACGAATACAAACATAGATATCAAATTCAGAAAAAGTAGATGAGTTTGTTTGTTGTTTTCATTTATTTGATTGAAGCAAAAGTTACTGATGGTTATTATTATCATGTGTTATCTCTCTTTAGTAATGTCCTATTTATTTAATGCATTGGGCGATGTCTGTTTTCCCATGCTGGGCAGCTTTCCCGACCCTCTTTCGTACCCACTTTTTTTCGAAGTCCATTATTAACGAGGTTTGAATATTGTTGTGATAGCTTTTGGTTGTGTTGTTATCTATCATTCGGGTGCTTGAACAGCAGCTTCTTGTAATTGAACGAATTGTTTTCAACCGAATTTAATTTATTTCTCATTCATCTTGTTACTTTCGATATTAAGTGATGATAAGTGTAACCTTGTACTCACCCAGCACCCTTACTTCCATCACCTTGTTTTATAGCAGAAAAATAAGCAAAATTGAGGAAGTAGTATGAAATCATGCTCATAATGTAGCAACAACTATAAAACGAAATCTCAATCTTAGGTTTCTATTTATATTATTTATATTTTTAAATATTCTTATTTCATAGGCCCAACACTAATAACTAAGGATTTTATAATCATGTAGATGGTTCTATTGTAAACTATTTTACAATGATAATTCGTAGAATGATGGATTATTGTAATATTCATAAACTATTTATTTATTTGATTTCTGAATTTCATAAATAGAAAGCTAATTAAGAACTAATTAAATTAACTCTTGCAAATTATATGAGCCAATTTCCGGAAAAAAATTAATTCAATCTCGAAAGTCCAAAACGACAGCATTCTTTCTTAATATCTGTTTGCGTGAAACGTTCCGATTGGCAACCGTTCAGTGCAAATGCACGCAGCGAAATAACTTATAAGCGTGAGATGACGTGGGAGTTTACGTGAAAGTGATGTCAGGTAGTAATTAGAATATGAACTGAAGAGCTTCCACCTAGAGATTAAGGCCGGCATAAAAACATTGTAGTGTGTTCGATATACTATATGTATATACATATATGTATATGTGAATTCATAAACTTTTTGTTTATTATGCAATGATTCAACAACAAAATATTTAATCAAAAACTTTTCTCTGCTGAGTTAATATTGTAATAGACGGCAAGACGGGTCTGCTTTTCGGCATCTCTTGTAAGTTGAACCCTGAAATGGTCTCAACGTTACTACTTCCTCAAATTATACAGTGGAGAGTTTGAACTTACGAATTACAGAATAGCAAATTCTTCAAACGTTGTCTAAATTTCATTGAGAATAGCGTGTATAGCAAAGGATTCGAGGCCGAGCATGTCATGGTCATGGCATTCATAATGAGACGCAGAGCATAAGGAGGATTGAAGTTCATTTGTAGCAAATAACTGTAGTTGTATATTTGAGTGAAGCTCAAGAATAACATCAAAGCTTACTTTGTAACAAATAAAATTTGTATTGGTGAATAACAAACAAAGTAAACGGCACCACAAGCAATTAGCATTTTAACAACATTTCTCCGTGTCCGGAGTGTATCGTTTCGACTATTTGTCTGTTTCAAGCATTTTTGAGCTGAAAAAAAAGAAAATTACGCTGGTAGGTGTTAAGCTTTTGCTACATACTTTCGCCTAGCTGATTGTTTGCCCAAAGTGCTATAGCAACCCGTGAATATACGCATAAAATAGCTGCACACGGAAACAAGTAGAAACACAGAAACTCAGCGGTCTTATAATGAGGCCACCAGCTGAAGTAATGTGCTTGATTAGAGCAGATTCCTTAAGATGTGATATGTAACATATATCTTCAAAAAGATATAATGAACCTGTTTTTGTAAGAGTATGATAATGCAAGTATGGGAACGCAAACAAGGCAGCGAATCCCCAAGCACACGCAACAGCAATGCCGACGTTCTGTCGGTTACAAAGTATTCTTGCTTTGATCGGATGGATAATGGCAATATATCTGATATGGATCGTGGATAAACATTCAAATGTCTTTCTCTCTGTCACTCATTATGTCTCTTTCTCTCTCTCTCTTTAAATTTCTTTATGTTTCTTTCTTTAGCTTTTCCTTCTTATATTCAGAATTGTTCCTCACCTTTCTATACAAACAATTAACTGAGTCGATATGGAAGTAAATAGAAAAACATATTCTAAATAACGACAAATCGCACACATAAACGCTGGCAACATCCATACTTTGCTGTAATACAAAACAATAATAATAATAATAACGGATTAATAGATGAAGCTGAATAAAATTTAAACTTTGATCAGGTTTGTGTGCTCTTTTTGAGCCTTTTTTTAGATCATCGAAACATTGAACGAGCACAATAATAGAATACTCAATGTTTATTTGTTATGATTTCATTCATGAGTTGATTCTCTTTCAAACAAAACAAAAAATGAAAGAAAGTAAGAAGCAGAAGACGAAGTAAGATGAGAAAAAAAAAGTGAAAAAAAAAGATTTTCTTCTTTAATGAAATAAGAGATGATCAGAAAGCTTGGGATGAGAATGATGTCTCATAGCTCTTACCTGCCATAGGTGACTGTGGGTACCCATTCCCATACAGTCAATAACAAATTTGAGCCATCAGCTACAGCCTAATATAATATTATATTGATAATACGATAAGATGAGTTATTTCAAAACCAAATTTAGGAGAAGAATATTCATAACTGATTGACGCATCTTGTTGTCACCAGCAATCACAATAATAACAATCAAATTGCCCAAAATTCCGACGATTGTCAGAAAGCAGAATAAACAGCCAAAGAGTAACATGAGATATTCTGACATCTGCAACTTGCAATTGTTATTTCAGATTATTTATTTCTTAAGTTGAACAATTTTTTACGATAAACACATGAGCATTGATATGTTTTCCTTATAATATACTCACCCCATTGCTTGTAGTTCTGGGTGTTGCAGCCAGAACGCTATCCAGAAGTGTTCGCTCTGATGAAGGAGAATTAGTTGTATCGGACACAAAAAATGTGGATGTCGAAGACAACATATCCGCTGTTGGAGCGATAGAACTTTCATATTTCATAGACATTGTAGTCTGAATTAAAATAAATAGGCAGAAGCTATGAAAGACAGGCATTAGGCCGTGAATATATTTCTCTTTCGTCTTCGACTGCTTCTTCTTCTTCTTCTTCTTCGACTTCTTCTTCTTCTGACTTAAACGAAAACAAATAGAATTTTTTGGTAGAAATCAGATGTGCAGATCATTCGATTGGCGTTTTCTTTCTTGCACCCGATGAGCTTCTTCAATGGTGTCTGAAATAGGAAGTATGTTAAAGAAAAGTATTGTTGTCAAAAGCTAATTGAAAGATAATAGAATGATTACATTCTTAGACAGCCAAACATGTTCAACGTTAAAATGCAATAGAATATGTATCAGAAGGGCCACAACATTCAATGATATTAAAGCTGCAAGTGGTGGGCCTGTTTTACATTCATTTTTTGAAAAATTAATTTTTATTCCACAAAAAAAAAGAAAAAAGAAAAAAAAAGAAAGTAAAAATTAAAATGAAACTCATGAATTGAAGAGCAGATACAAGTCATTTCTTTCTCTTTCTCTTTCGCTTTCTCTCTCTCTCTTTCTCTCTCTACGTTTCTCTCTCTCTCTTTCACCTCTTTGTATCCGCCTCCCCTTTTATCGCTCTAGAAATGAACGAATACAGATACTCCAAGTAGAACACGCAAAGATGTGGTATTGAATAGGATTTTTGGTAATCAAAAGGCTTATTTTTATTTCGGCAAAGAAGCCGAAATACAAAATTGTCAAATTGTATAACAAAAATTTATATATTATACCATTATTATTTTTCTTTTTTTATTGAAAAAATCATAGAAAAAGAAAATATTTCTGTGCGCCTTTCATGGACTCGAAGAGAGAAGATCAGAATAGAGTGGAATTGGCTAGTGGAGTAACACGATAAACGATGAACGCTTATGCTCTTGTGCTTCAATTTGCATTTGATAGAATGATAATCGAGAACACATATATCATATAAACATTCTGGTAAACAATTCTAGAAATAGTAAAATAGATGAAACAACACAAAAATTCTTTTTTGAATGCAGAGGTAAAAGCTGCTGCTTACCCTCCCCAGCTCAAAAACATTTTTGTACGAGAGGAAAGGGAAAAGAGTTGTGGATGAAGAGAAAGGTTGAAATGTAAGTCTTGTCGAACAAAAACGGAAAAGGAATGAAAGACAAGAAGAGAGAGTGTAGCAAAAAATGACCAAAATAGAAAGAGAGAAAAGAAAATGAAGACTGATGAAAAATGAATACAACCATTCTGCTCTCAATGATCCACTAAAATAAACGTGTCACCTTCACTCCAAAACTTTACGTGAAAAACGTAAGGTGACGTCATGAGCTCTTGAATATTTTCCTTTTGCATGCACAAAAAATAAAGCAAAATGATACATGAAGAGAGGGAGAGAGAGAGAGGAGGGGGAAGAGAGAGAGGGATGAGAAATAAAGAGAGAGAGAGAGAGAGAGGGGTCCGTTTTTCAAAAATATAATATTTGTAAAAAAAAATTGTCCATGAAAAGAAATTGTGATAGAAAGTAGGATGAAGCTTTAAAGTCATACGAGTTCAACAGTGCTCCCAATGGATTGCATCTGTTTCATGCGGAACCAAAAAATAAAGAAATGCTGAATAGAAATGTCAAGAAAGGACGATGTAAGGAGACTTTTCGTATTTTCTTCCCTTCATAGGTATTTATGAGGACGATTCAGATTCATAACGATATAAATGCAACTGAACAACAGTAAATGAGAAGCAACGAGAGTGAAACTTAAATCGTTTTGATGTTTTTGAGTCATCCGCGGTGCAGAATGAATTGGAAATGAAACCGAAAGAAGTAAAACAAAAAGAAAACTTGTGGAACATTCTCATCATGGAAACAAGAAAAAAAAGAGAAAAGAAAATTCTTTTGCAAGCATCACAACCAGCTGATATCAGATGAAACGTGAAGCTATATCTGATGACGGCGGGGGCAATTCGAATGGCTTCCTGGTCATAACGAATGTCAAACTTGAGGTTTTCAAATATGATTGCCCCTTTAACTAAATCAGATAAAAACAAGCACATTCATAACGCACTTTCCGGGCTTGGATAAGCAAACGAGAGACATTCATAAGCAACTTCAACCATTTTTTTTATTTTGTTCTTACCATTTGTCATATGAGAGGACAGAGAGGTAAAGAGAGAGTGACAGTGAGAGAGAAAGGAAGAAGAAAACATTTTTTATTATCAGTATATTCTGCTTGAATCGCCAATGTATTTTATAAAATAAAAAAGAATATTTGTTCGTGTCATACGTAAGAACATGGATTGTCGTTATTTAAGGTCAGCTGAAGTTCTCTAAATGCGGAGGAAATGAAGCAGAAGCTGTAGATGTTATAAGAAAAATTAAACAAAAGGTCTTGGAGCTTAAGAAAATCTCAACTGCTTGTTCAAACCTGGTAAAACACTCGTCATTTTCGTTTGAAAATAAAAGAAAATTAATGGAAAGGATTGCAACAGATTAGTAGACAACTTAACCTCTCTTCAGCCCAACTTTTTTTTGATTAACTCGAAAAACAATTAAGAAGCATGGATAGAAACAGACGCTTAAAGATAACAGAGAGTTAAAGCAAAAACGGAAAGCTGAACTATGAAAGGTTGAAAGCAGCTCAACAATAGAATAGAAAAACGAAATAACCAATTTTAGTAATCAGAAATCCCTCTTTCTCTCTCTTTTTTTTGGCGGCGGGCAACAATCCGCTTCCGGCAACGCTAACTCACAGCTGACTTGATCCAATTCGTTTCTCCATGATAATCCCAAGATCGAGACATCATTGTAGAAGCGAAAAATGATGGAAAAACATGAAACATTCACTAACTATATGGTGAATAAACAAATGCTTTTCACTTTGCGCGTGCGATTTTACTGAAAATGAGACGAGCTTTTCCTTCTGTCAGCTTCTTCGTTCCCAAGAAAACTGTTGAGAACTTATATTTGTTGAGAAGAATTGTCGAAGAAAAGTCATAATTTTGAATCAAAAAACGAAAAGTTTTTATTATATTTTTCTATATCCGTTTTAGAAGGATTGAGAGAGAGAGAGAGAGAGAGAGAGAGAGAAAAAAAAATAAAGCTATCAGTAAGAGACGAAGATATGAAAACATGGAAAGCAGCTGCGTTAACAGTTAAAAAACGAATTTTCAGGAAAAAAACAAATGAACAAAGGGAGGAAGGCCATTTTGGTAAAAAACAAATATATATTCTAATTAAAGTTACATTTTAAAGAACTTCTTAAGATCATAAGTTCAGAAGAAGTAAAAGAGATGAAGAGGTAAAGAGCGGACGAAAAAAGTTCAACCGATTCTTAATGCCTGCAATGGAGCAAATGAAAAAATGCGTCATGAAGGTTCACGTGGAATATATAACTCACGTGATTTTATAAATCTGTTCCGTTGTGGCTGATATGCTCTGAACCTTTATAGAGATGTAGAGATCAACTTAGAAAATGTCAAAAAGGCTTTCTTGTAGTTCTAAAATAAGGCTTCTGAAGAGCTAAGCACGCTGAGAGAGAGCTGTGCGCAGTGGGTGGAAGTATTCGAAATGCGTTTAGGACAATTGGCCAGTTTTGTTTCATTTGGTTTTTAATCAACTTAAGAACAAGAAAAAAAATTATTAATCAGTTCAATCGTTGAATGGACACATTTTTTATTCAATTTTGAAAAGAAGCTCAGGATGCTCTCTTCATCCCTCCATCTTCCAGCTTCCACTCATCATATTCAAGTTGTCGAATTGAAAGTTCAAAAGCTACCGAAAAACTTTTATAGAAGTTTTGTGAGCGAATTCGAAGAATTACTCAAAAATAAGATGGGAGGGAGAAAAAAACATTTAAAGCTTTGATTAAAGACGCTTTCATTCCTTTTTCCGAGGATAGTTTCCTCAAAAGAACATTCGAATAGTTCATTCAAAACGTCATTGATGACACTGCCAGCATCTCAACAGTTGAAAAGAAAAATAAGATTAAATCTGTATATCTCCACAAAGCCATATCTAAGCTCTCATCGTTTCACTTTTTGATTTGGCAAGATCTACTTTCGGGTGCAAACGATATCCCCTTTTCCATTCTCTTTATCATTTGAGAAGTCTTATTATTCAACTTTTCCATCTTTTTTTTTCTTTTTTTTCTCTTTCGTGGAAAGTCTACTCTTCCAAGAAGAGTTCTATTTTCTCTCTCATCCCACATCTTGTTCTTGTCTTCTCTCTACCCCTCTCTCTCTCTCTCTCCCTCCTTTTTAATCTCTTATTCTCTCTGTTTCTTGCTCTCCAGTAATTATTTACCTATCTCTATCTAACTATTTCCTTGTTCATCTCAGTCGTTCTTTACTTCTTCTCAGAACTATTTCATCCCCCCCCCTCTCTCTCTCTCTCATGGCTTTTCAAATTCGTTTCTCAAGAACTAACCTTTATTCTGTTTTTCTTTCACGTAATGGCTGCCATCAATCTTCAGAATAGTTGAATTTAAATTTTTTTAATAATAAAGAATATTCCAAAAGAACTGTTTGTTTTTCAGATGAAAACATGCCCAAAAAGAATTTTCTTTCTTTTTTTTTTGTGCTTCTCACTCTCCTCTTTGCTACTGTTCTGTTCGTCGATAGTGAAGTCAATTGCGAGTGCCAGAAATAGAATCCAAATATAAACATAAACGATAAGGTCAGATGGGGTTGAAAAAAAGAAGTTTGAAAAAAAAAAGAAGGAAATGGCGGGATAATTTCACATCAAAGACCATAGAAGGCAGTTATTGTTTTGGCCAGAAAGTGATGAACACGAAAAAAGGCAAATACAATAGATGAGAAGTTCAGGAGGGTTGTGAAGTAATTAAGCTTCTTTATAATAAAGATGGAATAAGGAAGGAATTTTCCTACAATTCCAAGTATAACTTAAGAAGTGGCAAAACAATTTTTCTGGAACAAGTAGATGAAAAAGAGTAAATAGATTTAAATAAGAAATTATGATCGAATATTATAGAAGCGGATTCAAG